GAGGTCTCCCATCCAGGTACTGACCAGGCTCACACCTGCTTAGCTTCAGTGGGTTGCCAGTTGTGAGTTGCAGGGTGATATGGCTGCTGGCGTACCACCCTGCAATTATCACCCTCAAATATGAGATGAGGTTTTGAGAATGCGTTCCCTACATTCACACTATGGCTCAGGAGGCTACCAGAAAAGAAATCGGAGCCAGTTGAAGACACAAGATTTTGAAAAAACTATCCCAGCGATGGGCTGAATTGGGGGAATGCCTATCCACACAGCAAGGGAGTATTGCAGTTATTTGTTTTCTAAAAGAGGCAATTCCTCACACACATCTCTGCCTCTCTCCCTGGGGCCCATCTGGCAGCTGTTGTTATTTTGTTTCTCAATGCCGTCTCTCTCCCTCCTTGTCTCCACCTCCAGTGATTGACCTGCTGGCTCTGCAGGACGCCAGGCAGAGCGCGGCCGCCGTGGAGAAGGTCGCCGCGGCGATGGGGACGGTGAGCGACATCTACATCGTCTCCGCCTTCCGCCTGCCGCCCAAGCTGGGAGGGGTGCTGCTGGGGCTGTACAACAAACAGGACAACACCAAGTACCTGGAGCTGGCCATCATGGGCAAGATCAACAAAGGTAAACCGCGAAGCCCAAAGGGCGACCCCTACTGGTCGGTGGGCGGAATGACAGCGTATGAAAGAAGGAGCAGTGTGTTCAGGCAGAGCATCTAGATGTTTTACAAGCCTGTACATAAACGCAGATAGAAATCCAGCCTGGTTCCCCTTCTTCTCCTCAGCTGTCTCCTTCCAGCTCTGTCTCTATTTATTAGTTCTCCCCTTAGGTCCTGCAGTTGTGGGGTAAACGGGTAACATGTCCCCTTTGCATTGTGGGTAATGCCGAGATGCCCATAGGATCTTCTTCTTCTCCTCCTGGTCCGGCCTGCTGCGAGGTTTTGTTCTCCTTAGTTTTGGTGCTGGGACTGGCACACTAGGCTTTCGGATTTGGACGTCTTTTCCCTTGATCCCCCGTGGGTCGAATGAGCTTCCAGAGAAAGGAAAGGTGCGCTCATCTCTCCAGGTGTTTTAGATAGAGTGTTCAAGGCCTGCCCGTGATCTTTGGCCGAACACCTATCCCACACCACGAGGAGGTTGCTCTCCATTTCTGTCTGCCAGTCTCCCCTGGGGCAGCAGGGTCAGTGAAAGGGAGGCACTGCGCGGTCGCATCTGTTTGGTCTGGGTATCAGGAGTGGCAATAATGACATGGAGTTCCGTGGGAAGCGCGGGCAAAAGGGAAAGACCGCGAGGCGGGGCCGCTGGCTGTCAGAGGAGCCTTCGGGCTCCGGGAACCCGCACACGCTCGGAACGCTGGGCAGGGACTCGAGAGAAGGCTGGAGCCTGCGTCGGAGCCTCAGAAGGAGCCAGTGGCTTTTGCCTGGACTAGTGGGCGAACAGTAAGGGGCCGGCGGGAGGACCCCCGCTGGACGCCGGGCGCAAGGACGGCCCGTAGGGGCCGCGGGGGGGCTGCTGCGTCGTTGACTTCAGGAGCCGCGGGTTCGGCCTCAGGGCAGGACCGTGACTGGGGTGCCTGCTCTTCTCATGGGGTCAGGCATCAGCACGAGGAGGGGCAGCTCACAGGGAGGAACCCCGTGAGGGTGGGACTTCAGCCAGCCTGGTACGGATGTCTCGCCCCTCTTGTTATCCGAGAAGGCTCGCTCAGCGCACTGACTCCAGTCTCCTTCCAGCTCTGGTGCGCTACATCCGGGAGGACGGCAAGCTCCACACGGTCAACCTGCAGAACGCCAACCTGGTCGACGGGCGCACCCACTCGCTCATCCTGCGCGTGGGGGGGCTGCGGCGCGACAACCTGGCCTTGGAGATGTACGTGGACTGCCGGCTGGCCGACTCCAGCCAGGGCCTGCCCGGACTGGTCAAGCTGCCGGCCGAGGCAGACTCGGTGGAGATCCGCACCGGGTTCAAGGCCTACGCCAGGCTGCAGGTGGGGGAGGCTCATCGTCATTGGACGGCCTGTCAGCCAATCAGAGCTGGGCCTTAGCCGAGCTCCGATTGGTCAGGCCAGCTTTCAAAGGCTTTGGAGACAGTTCGATATGTGCTTCCTAGGTATACATCTCGGAAGCTATGAACGAGAAAAGAAATCGAGCCTGTAGCCAGGCTTTGCTTGACTTATTTTCACTGAGAGGTGTGTTAGAAAGCAAAACCGGGCTGAGAGGCCAGTCTCTGCAGGTTGTGAAGCAAGCTGTACCGCTCTTTGGGGTGGGTGACAAGATGGGTGTGTGTTCACAGGGTTCAGTGGAGTCTCTGAAGTTGGCCTTGGGGGGCACAGTGGCCAAGGTTGGGGTCCTGACTGACTGTCCGTTCCAAGGAGATTCCTCACTGTACAATACAGGTACAGCAGTGTCTCTCTTTCCCGCTCCCCACCTTGTTCTCTTTTTCCCTGCCCAGAGCTGGGATGGGCAGTGATGAACTTGTGCTTCTTAGAGATTTGCAATTAAGAATGATGCTTGATGATGTTGATGACATGATGCTGTTTTCTCTCTGTCTGCAGTGAACGGTGCTCTGAACACGATCCTGGGTGAGTTCTCACTCTTCATTCACAGAATAGTCACAAATGAGAGGAGACGTTCAGCCCATCTAGCCTATTTGGTAGTTAATTGAACTCATCCTGCTAGTTTGTGAAAGAAGATGGGGTATTGGATTGAACAACATGGTGGGGCAGCTTGTTCCATAAAACCCTTTGTGTAAAGAAATGGGCTCAATTTTAAAAGCTATTCCACACGGGTCTTCAACTTTATGTAAACACAGTTGGGACATGAACCATGAACCTGCTGGGAATTATCCTTGCACCTCAATCCATTGGACCATTAGAAAAAGTGACCTTTCAGAGAACCCACTTATACGAGAAGCGGGATAATCCCAGTCCCTGGAATATCATTGCAACTGGGATGAAATTATTTTTTGCAAATTATTTTATCTACCTGCCATCGTTAACACAATGAGTGCCACAGGACCCACTGCAGAGTGGACAGCGAAACTCTTTAAATTCGACTGAATAAATACTGTCCTCAGTGAACCTGTTTTTGTCTTGAGCCCCTGAAAGAGTTTTGTTTAGAAATGGGTCCACCAAGGGTCATTATAAATCTTTTGAGAACGATGAACATTAACCTGGCGTTGCCTGGGCTTTGCTTCCTGTCAGGTGACCACACGAAGGCTCTGATTGGTCAGCTCGTCCTCTTCAACCAGATCCTGGGAGAACTGAGAGAGGACATCCGAGAGCAGGTCTGTGAGAGGGAGGGGATTAGAGGAGAAATGGGGGGGTGAAGTATCTTGACTATGCTGGGCAGAATTAAGCTGTCTTTGACTTTACTGTATGTGCAACTGCATATTATTGTGGATGGTGTACCAGAGCAGTTAGATTTGGAGTTTTAACACTGTTTTAATTCACTAGAGGACAGTCTGGGGACACTCAAGAGACAGAAGGAGCTAAATAAGGTTCAGCATTTTACAGGAGGTTGTTAGAGAATTCGGCTTCTGGAAGCTGATAGCTCTATAAAGAGTTCAGCTCTCAACGGAGGTTTGTTCTGAGGCCGGGATAAACCAGCAAAGTCTCTTGGTGCTAGGGTAGAAGATACAGTCTCGTCAGTAGACTGTGAGACATTGAGGTTAGAATATTAACCCAGAGCCACTGATGCTAAATCAGGGACACTAATATCTCCAGATAAACGATCCTGGCTAAACAGGGTCAGCCACTTAGGTTAGAATGGCAGGTTTTGTCCACAGGGGTCAAGGAAAGGCTTGCAGGACATGGACCAGCTGAGAGTTGGGGAGATGAATTATATCGAGTCAGCCTGGACTCGTCCCCAGTTCTGTGTTTCCCCGTATTAAATGGGGTTCATGTGTGTTAGGTCCCCCAGGTATCCCTAGTGGGTTAGCTAGATCAGCCAGACCTGGTTTTTTGTGATAGTGTCCGGCTGTGTGACACTGTGCCCTGTCGCCTTCCCTGTGCAGGTGAAGGAGATGGCCTTGATCAGAAACACTATCCTGGAGTGCCAAGTGTGTGGTGAGACTGTACTCCTTCACTGGACAATATCTCTGTACTCAGCCCATGATTCTGTGAATAGACAGATGTCCCGTCAGAGCTGTCAGGTGCTGGTCCTGGATGGCCAGCATGTCTGCAAGTCTTCGTTCGGTATTGGCTTCACTAGAGAAATTACCAGTTTCTCCCAGTTCTTCAAGTGCTGCTGCCAGGAAGAGACCTGGAAAACCTGCAGACACATCAGCCAGCCAGGACCTGGATCAGACATGGAGAACATGTGTAGATATATGTAGAGTCAGTCTGGATCTTCTAAGAAAAGTTGACCAAGGTTCTGATGTTTTGGAAGAACAGGCAGAAGCTGCTCTGAATGATGAGAAGCAGAATGAAAAGACTCTACCAACATAGCACCATAATCCTGCATGATCTTTCATAGAGGATCCATATTAAAGCCCATTTTACTGTCGATTGCCTGGCTATACTGCACTGATCATAAGGGCAATATTTATGACTATTCTGACTGAGCATACCTAAAGCAGAACTAGAAAAGCCTCTTCCGACAGTTTTCTTGTAGCATTGTAAAATGATCAGAGGACATTGATGTTCATACTGTATATCCCGATATATCCATATGTGTGGTATATGATCACATGCATCCACCTATCACACGTCATGTCAGCTCAATATTCCAAGGCAGGTGTGTGCTAGACCTGTGCTGGGAAGCATACTGAGTAAAAAGCAGGTCTTAGGTACAGTTAAACAGGCACATATTTTTAATTGATCGTATCATTCACCCCATCTCTTAATAAAACTGATGTTTTTTTAACATGACAAAGAAATTTCGGTACGACTTTATTTAAGTGTTGCTGCATGATGGCTCTATATCCCCTTCATAGCTGCAATAAAAGGCGTTAAAATAACGTGCGTCACGATTTATAGAGGGATGGATGTTTGCCTGTTATGCCTTCTGGCATGCAGGGGTAGCAACACCCTGTTCCTGTTACCGTAACATTAGTTTTTTACGGGACAGGGCTGTTAGCCTTGTGCCCAACCTCCAACATGGAGGTCCTGGCGCCCGGCGTGGGACACGAACCCGTTACCCTGAGATCACGAGTCTCATGCTCTCCCAACAGAGCTCGTCAGGGCCTGCGATTTATAGACAGGTGCAAATTGCATCATGTGTGCGTAAGAGGTCATGGCTTTTATTTTAGTATCATTTCTACTGCTTGGTGCGGTGAGATGTTACAACAAATGCCATGACCTCTTATGCACACCTTATGTCATTTGCATGTGTCCCTGGTTAGAACGTCTTGTGTAGCAGCTTTGAAGGGATTATGGAGCCATTATGCAGTAACACCCCAAAGTGTTGGTGAAGTTTCTCAGAAACTCTTCCTCTCCGTTTCTCTCTCTCTTTGTCCCAGGTTTCCACGAGCCGCGGTCCCGTTGCTCCCCCAATCCCTGTTTTAAGGGGGTGTCCTGTATGGAAACATATGAGTACCCCGGTTACCGCTGTGGGCCCTGTCCCGAGGGCACCGCTGGCAATGGCACCCACTGCCAGGACATTGACGAGGTACCCCTCTTCAAACACACAGCCTGGCGCTGCGCCCCGGTTCTGCCTTTGTTTCCACCCCACCTCTGCACAAAAGAGCAATGCTGACCCCTGCTGGTCATCATGATTAAAACACTAACCTGCTGCTCAGTGTTGTCCCTGCTATTCACTGCTGCCAAATGCTCACCCCCTTGCAGAATTCTGCGCCCTGCCTTCTGAGAATTGTGTCCATATGCAACATTCCACTGCCTAATACTGGCCCCCATGTCCTGGGTGCATTCCTACACAGACCAGTATGTGCTGGTGGGCCTCGCCATTTTTATCTTCTAATAATCTCTCTGTCTCTCTGCCTCCCTGCTCCTGTCTCCCTCTGCCACTGCTTCCCACCCCCGATCTCAATCCCCCCTCTCCCTCTCTCCCAGTGCTCCCTGGCCCAGCCCTGTTTCTCACCATCGGGGTGTGTGAACACAGCCTCGGGGTTCCGCTGCGACCCCTGCCCCCCGGGGTACTACGGCCCGCCCCTCAGCGGGGTGGGAGTGGAGTTTGCCAAGAGCCACAAGCAGGTGAGACCACGCACACACCCCCAGACATACCCACAAGGGGCTGTCAGTGAATGTGAGTTCTGTGAGTTCGTACATCAAGATTAGAATGACATTGTTAAAGGGTGAAATCGGTACTATTAAAGCGATTTTTTTGGTGCACTTAGATGATCCTATCAGATAGTGACGTCACTGTTATGTGATGTTAAATAGCGATGTCACAGATGATCCTGTTAGTGACATCATAGTTAAAATGATGTTGTTAGAGAGAGATGTCACAGTCCTATTAGATAGTCACATCACTGTTAAAGTGATGTTGTTAGGTAGTGATGTCACAGTTAGGTGATCCTATGAGATAGTGACATCACTGTTAGAATGATGTTATCAGGTAGTGATGTCACAGTTAACTGAGTGGTGTTGTTAGATACGGATCTTGCAGTTAGGTGATCTTACTAGATAGTGACATCACCATTAGAGTGACACTGTTAGTGGGATATTACAATGAGGTGATGCCGATAAAATGACGCTATGGCATAGCTGAAACTCCAGCTTTAATTCCTGGTTCATATTATTTGTCCTTTGACTGACCACATGCAGTCCATGTGACTGGAGTTGTTCGTGTACTTGAACATGAGGAGCTCTGTGCGGGCTGACGCCTGCTGGAAGACCTGGCGGTAAAGAGCGCTTGCCTCTTTCTCCGCAGGAGTGCGCGGACATCGACGAGTGCGGGGAGGGCAGCAACGCCTGCGTGCCCAACTCGGTGTGCGCCAACACAGTGGTGAGAGCTCGGGCACGAGGGTGGTGGGTGGGGGGGGTGAGGGGCGGACCCCCGCAGCACAGTGAGGGTCAGAGCCCCAGTCCAGCCCAGCAGACAGGACGGAGCTCTGCCGGGACGGTTCTAGAGGGTGTGTGGGGGGCCGTCCTGTCGCCTGCTCCTGCCCTGCTCTCTGAAGGCAATGCCGTAGAGAACGGGGAGCCTCTGCTCCTCTCTCAGGCTCTGTCCCCCGTTCTCTCCCGGTCCGGCAGGGCTCCTTCAGGTGTGGTCAGTGCAAACTGGGCTTTGTGGGCAACCAGACAGCCGGCTGCTTCCCGCGCAAGTCCTGCAGCACGCTGACCTTTAACCCCTGCGACGTCAACGCCCACTGCCTCATGGAGAGGAACGGGGAGGTGTCCTGTGCGGTGAGTCTGCAGGAGAGCTGGGAGGGGGGGGGGGAGTTTTTCGATTTCGGCTTCATTCTGGACGAGTCCGATGGCTCTCTCACCTGTGACTTTCCCTGTCGTCCCTGCCCCTCCCTCCTGCAGTGCAACGTGGGCTGGGCGGGAAACGGCCACACCTGTGGCCCCGACACCGATATTGACGGCTACCCCGACCAATCGCTGCCCTGCATCGACAACGACAAGCACTGCAAGCAGGTCGGTGTCTGACTCCCGTTCCAGGGCTGAGTGTCGTGAAGCATTGAAGCTACTAGGATAAAAGGTGCTTCATTAGTGCAGTTTATGGAGAAATCTGCCCCTGACCACAATAGAACACCTCTTTTTGTGAAGGAGCACCCACACTTTGCTTATAGACCCTAGCGGCCCTCTGTGGGAACACTAGGGGGCGCCACACCAGCGCCCCATCTGTGTCCATGCTGGCCTGGGGAAGCGATAGCGCCACCTAGTGTGTACAATCGATGTTGATTGGAAAGAGGTCCTCAGGATCTCATATATGAAGAATGCGAAGTGGCCAGTTCACCTGAGTAAAACAGTGTAGGCACCGCTATGGGGTGAAAGGTGAGGGTGCTGTTTTCGCTGTGGGTTATTCTGAGGGGTCTGGAGGGGCAGGGCATGTAAATATCAGAATGGCGCATCAGATCCTGCTAAAGCCTCACCGCAGGAGGTCCTCATTCCTCGTATTGATTCCTCCACTCGTTTTCTCCACCCCCCTCCTCTGCTCAGGACAACTGCGTCTTCACCCCCAACTCCGGGCAGGAGGACGCCGATAACGACGGGATCGGGGACCAGTGCGACGAGGACGCGGACGGTGACGGCATCAAGAATGTGGAGGTCAGCCCCCCCAACCCCCCCCCACCACTCCTCTCTTCGCCTGTCACGTGTCGCCCCTGACTCTCCACCGGATCAGATCAATAACACCGATCAGCTGTTCGCTCGCCCTGATCGGTCTCAGAAATAATGAGGACGCGTGATCCCACGTGATCGGGGTTCACCATAACGAGTTCAGCAACACCAGTTTGGAAAAGTCTAACACTTTTAGTTCTCTTCTTGTAGTTCTGGGGCAGCTCCGATATCAAGCCAGATCTCTATGAGTTCTGCAGGTTACCAGAATGATCATTCTTGTGTGACTGTGTGTTTGATTCACCTGCCTGTCTCTCTGGGCTCTGTTTTTTTCACTGTGTGTCTGTGATTAACATTGTCCATTCCGGTACACATCCGAGTCTGTGCTGCCAAGGTTAATGTTCGAGGCATCGCCAGTGAAGTAGGATGTTGCAAGCTGGCGCCCTCTTGTGGTCATCCAGCATCATTTCAAGTTCTCGGCAGCAGCGTGGATCCTAATGAGCTCGGATCCTCCAGTACCACCCAGCCCACCTGCCTGGATTGAATCCCGAATACGAGCCTTCGGAACAGGCGTCTGCGTCGGGCCCTGCGGACGCTCCAGAAGTGTCGCTGATCCGTTGTGTCCCAATCCCTCCTCTCCGCAGGATAACTGCCGCCTGGTGCCCAACAAGGACCAGCAGAACTCGGACACGGACTCGTTCGGGGACGCCTGCGACAACTGCCCCAACGTGCCCAACATCAACCAGCAGGACACGGACAGCAACGGGGAGGGCGACGCCTGCGATAACGACATCGACGGAGACGGTAACCTCCGACCTCAATGGTACCCCCCCCCCTCCCCAGCCCACAGACACCCGCCTCCTGGACTTTAGGCAGAATCCTTGACGTTCTAGTTGGGAAACAGCAAAGGATTCAAACGGAATAAAACGTGTTTATTTTTACCAGTTTTTCAGGAAGTTTGCGGTTGTGTCCGGCGGCTCTCTCAGCGATCCGTTCTCTCTGGAAAGCACTGGTTCCCTTTTTTCCTGCTTCAGTGCTTTTTTTCTCACCTGGCGCGTGCAGTTCCGCTGGGTGCGATCATTCGGGATTCCATCCTGGGCCGGGGGGAGAAGTTCTGGGCTGCCTCAGCCTTCCCTTCCGGAACAGGATCTGTGCGCCGAGCCCCGTCCGCATGACAAAAACCCGCTGCACTTTTGTTCCCAGTCTCAAAACATTTTAAAAATCCAACTCCTCGGTTTCTCACTCTTCCTCTCGATCAGTCTGCTACAGTGCCCGTCGCACCGGTTCGGCTTCACAGAGTTGTGGAGCAGTTGGTTGTATCTTCATGTTCTGCCCAGTGGGAGAAGATCGTTCTGCACCTCCTACAGTGTCCCATGTTCACCCTCGTTAGGCACTGGACTAGAAATTCTGTTCTTGAGCAAAGAGCACCACCTAGTGCTCCAAGAAAACCTCCTCCTGCAGCAGCCTGGTTTTCCTGTGAGGTCTCCCATATGAGTACTGTGGGGCCAGGCCTGCTGAACCTGATGTCTGAGAAGATCAGTCTGAAAGGCCGCAAGTGAGGATGACTGATGGGAACTCTGAACTGGAGCCCTCTGTGTTAGATTGAGCTCAGTAAACTACATAAAAACCCTGACTCCCTGACTCTCGCTTTGTCAACCAAGAGGAGGTCATTTGACCTATCCTGTGTGCTTCCTGGCTTGTGCCTGATTGAAAATGATCCCTGAATCCCTGAAAGAACCCTGTTCGGCGGCACTAGGTCCCAGACTCCCTCAATCTTCTCCCATCTCTTCTGTTCTCTGCCCTCGTACCCCCCGGGACCTTGGACTGTTGATCTTAAACACGTGCAAACAAAGATTGACTTGGTCAGCATCTGTTATGGTTTGCAATTCGAGACCCTAGTCCCTCAGCAATCTCCGTTACAGGCTAAAGATAGTGAAGCTTCTGTCCCCCTAAGCTGTTGTGGTGCACCTTTCCTCGTCTGACTTGAACCCTTTGTGCCTTCGTGTCTGGCAGGTATCCCCAACGTCCTAGACAACTGCCCCAAGGTCCCGAACCCCCTTCAGACTGACCGGGATGGAGACGGGGTGGGCGACGCGTGTGACAGCTGTCCTGAGATCAGCAACCCCACCCAGGTGAGGATGACTCCTCGTTCCCCCACAGTACACATGTGGGAACTGATTCATTGTGCAGTTCATCCTGGGGTCCTTATTAAGCTATTCATGCCAGTCCGTCATCACAGTGGCCCAGCATGTTAGCCAATAGAGGTTGCTAATATTTTGGCCGGTGGTTGTGTTGCGCGTTGTATGTCGTCTAGTGCTGCTCACAGCTGTTTTAAGAAGGTGAGCTGCATGAATAATGTTCACAGCTTAGCGGCACGGACATTATTTTTATTTAATTTGTTTAATCTTTTTTCATAACTTGAATTTATGTAGTAATATGTACCCCCTGGAGATCTTTTTGTCTTGAACTGTTATATGTACTCTTGTTTGTATTGTAATTTTTATTATTCTGTTAAGCATAAATACAAAAAAAATTAAAAATGTTCACAGCTGTAATGAGAGAAGTGACCTTTAACCTTTCACCTCTTCTTCCTCCCCACAGACGGATATTGACAATGACCTTGTGGGAGATGTTTGTGACACCAACCAGGACCTGTGAGTGCTCATGCTGTATAGCACCTTACACCCCAACACAGCATCGCTGCC